GCTTCGTGGCTCGTCGGATTCGGTAAGGGAGAAAAGCTCGTGGCTCGGTCTCTCTCTCGCTTTTTCTCTCTCATTCTCTCTCTCTCTCTCTCGCTCTTTCTCTCTCATTCTCTCTCTCTCTCTCTCTGTCTCTCTCTTCTCTTCTCTCTCTCTCTCATTCTCTCTCTCTCTTTCATTCTCTCTCTCTCTCTCTCTCTCTCTCTCTCTCTCTCTCTCTCTCTCTCTCTCTCTCTCTCTCTCTCTCTCTCTCTCTCTCTCTCCTCCCTCCCTCCCTTTCCCTCTCCCTCGCTCCCCTTTTTCCAATTCTCCCTTTACAAAACGGTCGCGTTGAATGAGCATCCCCATATAGATACAGCCTTTCATGACCGATCTCGTGACATATTTTTCAGGGCGTTGTTCCCTTCAAGGCTGACGGGGAGAGAGCATTCATCAAGGCGACGAGACCGAGCGTGGATGATGCTGGGAGACGGGGTGGGGGGTTGGGGGGTTGGGGGTGGGGGGTTAATGAAGCGGGGGAGCAGGAGGAGGAGGATGGGGGGAGGAGTGGGTGTGTTACGAGAGGGAGGGGAGAGGCGAGTTAGATGGGTTGTTAAAGTGGGGATATAGGGGTGGGGGTTGCAACGAGGAGGGGGGTAGAAGGGGGTAAATGAAGTGGGGAAGCAGGAGAGGGGAAGAAGAGAGGGAGGAAGGTAGAGGGGTTAATGATGAGGGGGGGGGGGCAGACAAGGAGAAGGGTAGTGAGAGGAAGCGGAGTGAGAGAAGCAGAGGAGGGAGGGAGGGGGGGGGGGTTATGAGAAGAAGGGGTGGGTAGAGGGGGTTAGACGTTGCTAAAGGGGGGGGGGGTTAGGCAACGAGAGAGAGGGAGATATAGGAGTTTAATGAGGCGGGGAAGCAGAAGGGAGGAGCTTCCAGTATGAGGTGGGGGGGGGGGGTGTTCGGAGGGATGAGGGGAAATGCGAGAGAGTGAAGAGGGGGAGTTTTTTTTTCAAATGGAGAAGGCTAAGGGGCGCGTTGCATGAGACGGTATAAAGGGAAGGAGTTTCATGACAAAGAGAAAGGGAGGGAAGGGGTTTCATGACAAAGGGGAAGGGGAGGGGGGTCATGAAAAGAGGGAAGGGAGGGAAGGGGTTTCATGAAGAGAGGGAAGGGGGGGGGGAAGGGGTTTCATGACAAAGAGGAAGGGGAGGGGAGGGGTTTCATGAAAAAGAGGGAAGGGGGGGGTGTTCATGAAAAGAGGGAAGGGAGGGGAAGGGGTTTCATGAAAAGAGGGAAGGGGGGGGGGTTCATGAAAAGAGGGAAGGGGAGGGGAGGGGTTTCATGACAAAGAGGAAGGGGAGGGGAAGGGGTTTCATGACAAAGAGGAAAGGGAGAGGAAGGGGTTTCATGAAAAAGGGGGAAAGGAGAGGATGAACGTAAGGGATAAGGGGAGAGGGATAGAGGAGGAGGTACAGGGAATGGGGATCGGAGAGAGGGGAAGGGGATGCGGGGAAAGGAGGGGAGGTACGGGGAGGGGGAGGGGGGCCCACCGTCGCTATTTATATACCCTGTATGCTAGCTGTGTGGGACACTGGCGAAACCTGTCAGAACGAGTAAGAAAAGATTTATAACATATTTCACTAATTTTCTCTAATGTAAGCCCTCCCTGGAACTATAATTTGTGAAAATAAACCAAACAAACTAAAATACTACATTTCTTCCTTAAATAAAATAAAAAAAAAAATCGTTCTTAATCAAAATCAAGACCACGTGTCATTCTACCTTTCCAAATTATTCTTGAGTCCTCGTCTAAAGAAAAAAAAAAAAAAAAAAAAAAAAATCTGACACATATTCAAGCCGGGTTGCCAACGATGTTAGTACTTTTTGTCAGCGTGTTGTTCATTAAAAGGATTTGCTGAAGAGAAACAAATTTTAATGTAAGCGTGGCGCACCAAATATAGCTGTGCTGTTAGATTAGATATATTATGAATGCCAAGGTTGTTATTACGTTGATAGTATTTTGTACCTTCTTTTTAAGGGATTATCATGATGACACTTACCAGTACTTTATCATTACAGTGTCATTACTGTCATCTTTATTACTATCACCTATTTCATTTTTGTTATTAGTTACGTACCTAATACCACTAGATTTATTAATATATAAAGTTATATATGTTGGAGCTTCATGTTCTTTGTGCGAAAGGTTTAACATAAAATCTTTGTTTTTCTTCCTGTATTTTTCATTCATTCATTTAGAAAAGTTTATATCTTTTATATTTTTTTATCATCCACATCATTCTCATGGCAACTTCAATGGAAGTCGAAGATGAACCAAGTACTGTAGAAAAGGATTAAAATAAAGCTTGGTTTATTCACCGTGTGCAATCAACCTAAACTCTTGCCCACAAAAAACGAAATAAACAGACATATAATTATACAAATATATAGCCATATAGGTAAGGAAATAAACTAAATACACAATAGTACGAATCTAGGCACACGAATGAAAGGCTTAAAAGATATATATATACAGTGGACCGTAACCACCGATGGGACAAATAGGGCCATCACACGTGGCATGCGGCCGTTAAATAAAAACATGGTACGGATACTAATTGCGACATAGACTGTACGCGTCTAGTCATATAACAGAAAGCTGTGCAGAAACAGACTAGCTACGACACACATATGTCCTCACATAATCACACAGACATGCAGACGCAAACCATACACCACACTCAGTACAAAAGCAAGGATTCACTTCAGCACACAGACGTCCCCACAAAACATAGTCACACATACAGACATCTGCCAATTTTAGTACTCATACATCCTCACACAGTACGTACACACATACCGACACAGGCCAAACACATGTCGTGTCCTAAACCTATGTACATACAGACACAAACGACGCTAAGCACAAACGCATTTCCTCGCTCAAATGCCTTCAGCCTGCTAATTCTTCGTGAGAATGGCACTGTTGGCTCACTTTGATGCTAGAATGGTAGACATTGCCGATCTGAGTTACGTTCAATAAAATGGAGGTTTGCTGACATTTATGTTTCTTAAAGTATCGATTACGTGTTGCATGGGATTGCAGAAGGATTAGCATACGAGATTGAAATATCCTGAGGCTTCATGTCCGTTTTATGGAAATGAGAACGCCTTGCTGTTTCAGATGATATGATTTTCGAATATAAAAATAAGACCTCTAGGTTTATTTCTCGTCTGGGATATATTTTTTTACTCGAATATATAGCATAAGTCAGGGCTGCATTTCCTGCTAGACTTTTTCATTAGCTGAATGCATTGTTTTGTAAAATTTAGTGGGAAATAAATTGAGGCAACCTTTACGTTAGTTTCCACAATGTCTGAATTTTTGTGAGCAGTGTTGTGTAAACATGGCAAATCTTAATATTTCTAGAAAAGACACACAGAAATACGCACAAAAAATAAATCGATACACCATTTAAATATAGAGGATTGTAAGGTAAAGTAAATAACATTATCTTTTTTGTGTGTGTGTGCTGCATGTATACCACACACACACATACATAAACATACAAACACACAGACACACATATTATATATATATATATATATATATATATATATATATATATATATATATATATATATATATATATATATATATATATATATATACATATATATATATATATATATATATATATATATATATATATATATATATATATATATGTATATATATACATCTATATCTATATATGTATGTATATGTATATGAATATAAAAAAATAAATAAATATATATATCTATATGTGTATATATATACATATATATATATATATATATATATATATATATATATATATATATATATATATATATATATATATATGTATATATATATATATATATATATATATATATATATATATATATATATATATGTATATATATGTATATATATATATATATATATATATATATATATATATATATATATATATATATACATAAACGTTTATTTATATATATATGTGTTTTTATATATGTTTATATATATATATATATATATATATATATATATATATATATATATATATATATATATATATATGTGTGTGTGTGTGTGTGTGTGTGTGTGTGTGTGTGTGTGTGTGTGTATATATATGTATATATATATGTATGTGTGTGTGCGTTTGTACGCGTGCGTGTTTGTGTATGCATGCTTATTTATACGTGTACAGGAGATATGGAATATAAACACAGAAAATGTGTTTGTTTGTTTACAGAAACTGTGAAGGCTAAAAGATAATTAAGGGCGGACCTAAACACTGATAAAGATAGGAAAATTGTTTGGGTACCAATTAAGAGTGAAGCTATACACCGACTGAGGGAGAGAGAGAGAGGGAGAGAGAGAGAGAGAGAGAGAGAGAGAGAGAGAGAGAGAGAGAGAGAGAGAGAGAGAGAGAGAGAGAGAGAGGGAGAGAGAGAGAGAGAGAGAGAGAGAGAGAGAGAGAGAGAGAGCGAGAGAGAGAGGGAGAGAGAGAGAGAGAGAGAGAGAGAGAGAGAGAGAGAGAGAGAGAGAGAGAGAGAGAGAGAGAGAGAGAGAGAGAGAGAGACAGACAGAGAGAGACAGAGAGAGAGAGAATGAGTGAGAAAAGAGGGAGAGAACATGAAAGAGATGTGCAAAGATTAAATTCTTGACAGACAGAAATAAAAACTGTAAACATATAATCAAGTAACTCCACTTAATCTTATGTTCCCGCAACAACATTATCTAAACTCCACCTCCAAGTCAATTAAAGCAAATAATAACATTAAAAACAAAACATGAAGCTACAAAATAAACACTTATTAACAAAACAAAACAAAAAAAAATGAAACAAACCAGTAATCAAAAGCAAAAGAGAGCTCCTCCTCGCATTCCCGGATGACAGAGCTGACGGCAGGGAGGGAAAAAGAAAAGGAAAAAATAAAAGTTACACCAGAAGCCCGGGCGGAGGAGAGGCACTCAGTACGAAGGTTGTGCCGCTCCCGTTAACACCGGACGCCCCCGCCAAGGCTGTGAGTTCAGACGCACACGCGCACACACACATTAATACGCACGTACATACATGCCTATGTATTTGCATTACATGCCTGCATGGATACATTTTTACTTATATACATACATACATGCATACAATGCATACATTACATATATACGTACATTCATGTATACATACATTACATACATACATACATGGTTACGGACGTACAAAAGTACATACATAAGCTATATATATGTAGTGCATGCGCATAGTATGTATATTCAAAAGGCATAATATTACACATATGCATAAATGCACACATTAATATACACATCGTTATGCAAATATATACACACATTAGTACATACCTATATACGTAAATAAATACGATAATGTTCTTGGTGAAATGAATGTAGGATACGAAGAGGCCTGACATTTTAAAAGCATTTAGCGTATTTTTTCCCCTTTTTCTTTTCTTGGTTGCACGTGTTTTTTAATCCCAAATGTTCTTTAAAATCGTGATTGTGAGGTGCGAAAATGGTGAAAATGATTTTTTAAGCACATGAAATTACAAAAAAATCGTGTCAGTACTCCTATTTCACCTTTTAATTTTCAAAAAAAAAATATATATATATATAAAGGTGGGATTATAGTTATAGTAAAAACTGGCTGTGGATGGTGAATGGTTATATAATCGTACCTATTCTGTTCATATCAATACATATTACCTCCCGTGGTGAATGAAGAGCAAGGGTTATGATAAAAGTACAGGAGAGGAAAATGACTAAGAGATGATGCAAAAAATAGCTTCAAAAATGAGGCTACTGAATTGAGGCAACACAACGAGAGAAATTCGGTTTCGTTATTGTTACGCTATTGAGGTTAACTTACTGATATGCGATGGAGAAAATCGAATGACTGTAAACGCAGAAAACCTATAGGAGGAAAGAGCTGTTCATATCATTGTGTATCTTTGGAAAACTTAAGGAAGTAGAGACTCTGTACATAAATAGATTTATTGCAAGAAGAAGGTCAGACTAAATCCAGGTGTAGTTTGTAGGATGGTGATAACGATAGAAGTAAACTAGTGGTCATATAGGTGGTAGTAGTAATAGTAATAGCAGTAGCTATAGTAGTAAGGATGATGGTATTAACAAAAATAATGATATTGGTAATACTAATGATAATAACGATAATTATAATGATGATGATAATGAAAATGATAATGATAATTATATCAAAAGAGTAGTAATGATGATAATGATATTGCTTATATTGACGATAACAACAAACATAGTTATAAGCATAATAAAAGATAAGTCGATTAACGTAATTATATCCGCATACATATATAATAGAAAACACAGGAAGTACACAGATACATTGGCGACCAATGTGGCGGAAACACACACACAAGTGTGTATATATATGTATACATATATATCTGTGCGCGTGTGTGTGTGTGTGTGTGTGTGTGTGTGTGTGTGTGTATGTGTGTGTGTGTGTGTGTGTGTGTGTGTGTGTGTACGTGTGTGCGTGTCTGTGTGTGTGTGTGTGTGTGTGTGTCTGTGTACGTGTGTGTGTGTGTGTGTGTGTGTAGAGTATACATACATACATACGTACATACATATGTATATATATAAATATATGTATATATACATATTTACACACACACATATACATATATATGGCTAAGACAGAAGGTAATAAGAAAATGAAAAAAGTAGAAAAATGGATAGCTTAATTGGACAGACTGACTGACTGAAAAATAGACGCAGAGTGGGGGTGGACAGAGAAGAATGTAGGAAAATAGACAGACAAACAAGCAATAGGACTGATTGATGGATACCGAGGAGGACGAAGAGGGAAAGAAAGAGATGGTGAATGAAAGGGAGAAAGAGGAACGAGATGAATGACGAAAAAATGGAGGAATACGGAAGGTTGAAAAAGAAGGCAGACAAAATGTAAATATAAAGAAAAGGTACAGTATAGATACTGGAACATAGTATAGTAAAAAGTGTATCTGAAGAGCAGAGCAAAGCAATGATAATAAAAGAAAGATAAATAATTCCAGAGGAAGACAGGAAAGAAAGAAAGAAAGAGAATGGGAAGGAGTAAATTAAGAATATGAATAAAAAAAAAAAACAGGAGATGAAGAAGGAATAATATGAGGAAGAACGAAAAAGAAGATAATAATATGAAGGAAAAAAAAAAACAGAAGAAAACTACAGAAAAAGTCGAAAGAATGAAAAAAAGAACAAAAAGATTGTGAAGAAGAGAAAAGAGACGACATCACAGGGGCGAAGACAAGCCCCTCTCAGTCAGCCAGCCACTAAGCCCAGCTATTGGCCACAGGGATATAGGCGGTGTTTTCAGAAAAGCAAAAGGCCCAAGCATTAACTTCCCCTCCACGTGCTAGGGAGAGCGTGCGCGATATGTGTGTGCAGCTGCTAGTTTTTTTCTCGGAAAAACTGATGTCCGCATTAGCTCCGTGACA